TTATCACATAGTGGCAGATGGTTACGGTGGTAAGGGCTACCTTATAGGGCGTGAGGATGAGGACAGACTAAGCGACGTCATCAGACAGGCTCAGAGGGACACCCATGAGGGCAAGGCTGTACTTCTTAATGTTCTGATAGGGAAGACCAACTTCAGAGAGGGCTCCATATCTGTATAGAACAGCGGTGTTTAAGTACATTATTTTTCCTTGAGCTTTTATATATTTTTGTCATCAGGCTCTATGAAAGGTGTCAGAAAAGAGGAGAATACTGTCTGCCTGAGAGAAATCATTGTTAAGTTATCAATTATGACCAGTATGCCTTTCTTTCTGTTATCAGCTGAGCACAGAGCCTTTTAGGGGGATACATGAAATCTTACAGCTGTGATTATTCTTTATCGGTTGAGATAAAATTTTGTTCAATCTGGAATATTTTTTTTTTTTTTTGAATGTTGAAGACTGACAGATGGTATGTCTTTTAATGTTTGTATCTTTGATATGGAAAGAAATGTATGTATGTAAATGATAGCCTATTTAATACTATTAGTATTCAGTGATGTGGACTATCATGTTAAATATGCCTACACACTATGTATTGCACTATAATTATGGCTTATGTACTCATCACATGAATACACGTGGATGAACTCATTCCAGTGTGAGGGACGTATGTCAAACTTTTGATCATCTATCAAGTGTTGGTTTAGACTAATTCTCAAATTAAAACAAGTAATAAGTGGTTTTTTTGAATCATCCAAGCACAGAGTGCATTGTAGGCACTTGTTTGATTTAGAGATTATTATGCACATATATAACCAACTTGTGTTTAAATTAAAAAAAAAAAAAACACTTTAACCTTTACTTTACCAGGGAAATAAATCCCATTGAGTTTTACAACCTCTTTTGCAAGGAGGCCCTGGCAAGACGGCAGCATAAATCAACCTTGTAGTTGAATTTATAAACTGTAATGAGGTACAGATGGATTTCTAATGTAATGTTCCCTGAATTTTAGAAACCCCCTCACAGCATTGATTGTGTAACCAGGCCACCCACTCTTCTACCTGTGGTGCAAGTGGGCTTGCTATCACAGGGTAAATAACCTGTACTAAATACTATAACTGTCAGCACTCGGTCACACTTATGAAGCCCATAAAGCATTTTCATCTGGATTATTGTTTAACTTTGCTGGTGGTAAGGCTGCACTAAGAGACACCAGCTGTATGACTCATGAATCATACTGTATGTTGATTAAAGCTTGTGAAGTCACATACAATACCATCTTTCCATCAGTTGTCAGTAAACACTGCACTTGACACAAGGAAATTAATGTGGATCACATAAAACACTACTGGATGTAAATCGCAAATGTTTTATCATGAGGAGCTGTGACTT